CTAATTCCCAGTATGTTCTAGCTCATCAATTCTGTAATATTTTTTTTAGCTCATTCCTAATATTTCCATTACTTTTGTATCTCTTCCACAACATTTTTTTATCCCGTTCCCAGTAACTTTAGATCCTTACTATTACTAACTGTTTTCTAGCTCATCCCCAATATTTTTTAATCACATCCCCAATATTTTGTAGCTCATCCCCAATATTTCCCAGACTTTTCTATCTAATCGCAATTTTTAAAAATCTAATCCAAAATAATTTTTAGTTCATCCCCAGTATTTTCTAGCTCATCTTTAATATTTTCTAGCTCATCCCTAATATTGTTTAGCTCATTCCTAATATATTTTCTAGCTCATCCCCAGTATTTTCTATCTTATCCCCAATTATTTAATCTCATCAGCAATATTTCAAAGACTTTTGTATCTTATACACAATATATTTTTTACATCTCATACGCTATATTTTCCAGCTCATCCCCAATATTCCACAGACTTTTCAATCTCATCCCCAATATTTTTTTTTATCTCATCCACAATATTTTCTAGCTCAAACCTAATATTTTCTAGCTCATCCTTAATATTGAATTTTCTAGCTCATCCCCAATATTTCTTTCTCATCCCCAGTATTTTCTAAATTATTCCCAGTAATTTCTAGCTCAACCCTATTACTTTTTAGAGCATCCCCTGCATTTTCTAGTCCATCCCCAGTATCATCTAGCTCATTCCCAGTATGTTCTATTTCAACCATAATATTTTCTAGCTCATGCCCATTATTCTTTAACTCATCCCTAATATTTTCTAGCTCATTCAGTGTCTTTTCTCACTCCCCCTCCCCGGGGGCAGTGCCGCTGACTGTAGTGACCCCCCGGGGCAGTGCCGCTGACTGTAGTGACCCCCCGAGGCAGTGCCACTGACTGTAGTGTCTTTAGGCCATTCCCAAAGGGAGGACATTTCTCGTTCAAGCATTGTAGAATTGTAAATGGGCTGACTCATGTCACGTTCATAACTGTGCCTGATCTACAACAGGGAACTGCTGCTTTTTGTCTTTCCTGATCCTTACTATTGTCATTTTCCTCTACTTCTTTCGTATGTTTGTCACTCTCTTGTGACATATATATTATATATTAC